ATGGAGAGAGCACACCAACCAGGTTCTCTAATATCAAAATAGAGCAATTTATTCAAGACACAGAATATGATCTGTTGATTTTCTCTTGAAACAAATGAGCTACATCACACAAGGTGATTCTTTTTTTCCAAAGAGCGTGAGGGTGAGTGGGGGTGGAAGGAGAATGGGACGGGGCTCCATGTCACTGCAACAGGATCTGGGCAATGTGGACAGGAAGAGGTCTGGCTGTACGTCTGACACAGACAATATAACTGCAGAAGCCAGAATTCGAAGCTTCAGTGAGTGGTGGGAGGGACATTTCTGCATTGGACAAGAAACACCATGAAAAAAAAAAGGTGGAACGAGAGGTTGAAAAAGAGAGAAATAAGAAGGAACGAAGACCCTCACAATTGACAAAGTGCACTTCTCTTGGCTCCAGGATCTAGTTTTAGAAAGACAAAAACCAAAGTCAAGTCCTATGGTGTCGCGCAGGGTCAGAGGTTTCACCCTGTGACATCCGGCCCTTCCGCCCGGGGCGGCTCCCTCCCCAGGTGCGTGCTGGATGTGGCTCTTGGTCATTTCAAATCCAATCAAAGATTCCAGGAAGGATCGTTGTGTTATGTCTGCTTTCGAGGTTGAATTTGGTCACTAAGACTGAAGCGTCCCTCACGAGGGTCTCAGAGCTGTAAGCGATGTCTGACAGTCACATGTCCAGGTGGCCACCGTGGACCCCGAAGGTGAATCTCCCATGTGCCTGGCAGGAGGGCGCGATGGCCACACGTGTTGGGGGCCCCAAACTAGTGGTCGATGGCGCTGTTTGCTGAGGACAGGCACGGATTCGAGGGGCGCCAGCGACACCCTCATGCTTGGTCCCCGTGGCCAGCTGGGGGGTGGCCGCCCACTTCGTCCGAGGCTCACTCTTGTGCACAGGGATGGGAAGCCCGTTGTCCGTGACCCCAGCCCTCGGCTCCAACCTTAATCTCAAGGTGGTTGAGATTCATATGGAGGCTGAAGCCAGCGCTTTGGTGAGACCCTGGCTCCCGACATTCCCAGGAAGATTGTCTAGTGAATTAGTTCCAGTACTTCCCCTGTCACCATGCCACACCAGTCTCCAGTTGCCATGCACAAGCCACGTCCTGACCGTGGTCTGACCTCCAGGAGCCGATGCTCTGCAGAGATGAAAACACTCTCATCTGGGGGGGGGATGGTCTTCATCTGGACCCCAACATGCTGCCCCCCAAACCTCACGCACTCTGGGGACAGGAATCAGCAGTGAGTCTGGGGGTGCCGGCTGTCTTCAGACATGGAGGTGGTTACTCCATGGGACTTCGGCCTTCGTCACTAAGTGTTCAGGTGACAGAGCCCCAATAAAGCCTTACTTGGAAGCAGAGCACTTTCTGGGCTTGAATAATTCACAGGCCCAGGTGGGGTCCAGTGAATGACCTGGGAATGACCAACGCCCCTTCGCTTTGGTAGCTGCTCCCGGCCCATTCCAAGTTCTCTAGGAAGCCCCTGCCCTTCCCAGGTGTTGGTTTTCGGCTCTAAAGAAGGGTGCTGCCCCCTGAATAACAAGGTCTCGTGGCTGGAACACACACCAGTGAACCCTACCACTGCCAGCCGGCGCCACAGCCGCCACAGGCTCGCCACTGTCCTCAGCTCTTCCCTGGCCCACAGGACGGCGATGAGAGATGGGCCCCAGCCGTCGGTCCCTGCCCCCATTGCTGATTTCAAAAGTAAGCCAGTGTTGGGTTGTGACAATAGGAGCACAGAGGTCACCCGATCCAATGAAGGAAAATTACTAGGAACACAAAGCCTTGTTTAATTTTTTTTTTTTTTTTTGTCTTTTTGTCTTTTTCCGTGTCCGGCAGTGGATCGCAACCCTCAGTGCTGCCCCCACACCGGACCGGGGACCGGCAATGGGACTGCAACCCTCGGTGTTGCTCCTGCGCCTCGTTCAGCCAGTGAGCGGGAACCGGTCCGTATGTGGGATCCGAACCCTCGGACGGGAGCGCCGCTGCGCTTCCCAAGCGGCACACTATCCAGTGCACCACCAGGCCGGCCCCTATTAATTTTTTAAAAACACTAAAAAGATTCATTCTTTAAGAAAACCCTCTCTCTCCTAGTCTTGTGTGAGAGAGGAAATGGTAAAGACAGCAGAAATGATCAGTGACGCTCTGCCTACAGCGTTCGCCATTAGGGCTGCAACGCTGTCTTCTGCGCATCCTTTTGTCATCATTAGACCAAGTGACGCCCTGGAGCCTTGATGTCAGCTTTGCCAGGACCGGCCTGGCCCACTCTTGGAGAATTGACATGGCTGTGGGGAGGAGGCAGATGAGGCCACGGCGAGCCGAGCTGTGGCTTTCAATGGCTTCAGTGCCTCTTGGTTCTGGGGATGCGTCCTTGAGGTCAGAGTGCACCATCCTGCAGTCACTTCTCTTCTGCCGGCCACTAAGGTCACACACCCTGAAAGAGGCCACGTGGTTCTTTGTCCTCCCGGTGAGCTGCAGAGCCACCCGCTGCTCACCCATAGGACTGACCCTTCCCACCGAGTTTCCTGACTGCCTGTGGAGCTGAAGGGCACGGGGGAAGCCACCTCGGGCCCTGCCTGCATCTCCTGACAGATTTTCTAGACTATGAATCACACACAGCTCTCTATGTCTGATAGCCATTTTAGGATTTTTAAATTGTTTTAACATAAAAATATTTTTCTTTTCCAAAAATACTCCAGGCTCTTTCTCTTATAAGTCATTTTTTTTTCTCCTATAAAAAGTCCACCTCCCCGGGCCGGCCCGGTGTCGCACTGGATAGTGCGCCGCTTGGGAGCATGGCGGCGCTCCCGCCCGAGGGTTCGGATCCCACATACAGACTGGTTCCCGCTCACTGGCTGAGCGAGGCGCGGGGGCAACACCGAGGGTTGCGATCCGTTGCCAGACATGGAAAAAAGACAAAAAACAAAAAAAAAAAGTCCCCCTGCCCTGCCTTCTTAACATGAAGCACTTATTATGCGCCCAAAGTGCCCTTGAGACCTAAGATCTGAAGCAACTATGAGGACGGGACAGAGAAGGGTGAGTGAGGGGTAGGGGCGGGGAGGGCAGGAGGGAGGAGGGGACAGAGGGAGGGAGGAAGCTGTCCACTGGAGACTTCTGTCACCATGTCCATGTGGCTGCACTGACCGAGGGGCTCTGACAAGCCAGACCACAGCAGACAAGGGGAAAAGGTGGAGGGGGCAGGGAACAACAGAGGGAAGATGCAACAAACCCAAAACAGTTTCCATCCCAGACCGAAGGCCCCCAGACTACAGAATTCCAGCTGATAGAAAAAACCACTGAATGAAGAAGATTCTAGAAAATAGAAAGTGTTGGGATGACAAAGTTGCACATCGCATCGGTACAAACTGGTCTTTGAACATCCTTTTCCAGAGCAGCTGTAGTGTCCCAATTGTCAGGGGAAAGAAAACACCAGCGTGAGGAGAGGACATTTCCCCTCCTGGTTTATCACAGCATTTTGCTTCTTTGCTTTGTTTTCTGTTTTTGTTTTTTGGCACAGCTTCCTTTTTTCTTGTTTTCCGTTCAGGCATCAGAGCCTCTTCTGGATGGAAACCACACTGGGCACGTCTAGCTTCCTGCTTCCTAGGCTGAAGGTCCTGGCTGGAGACCACTCGTCCCCCTCTGATGTGACTGTGTGTATGCTTTTGCTTTTGCTTGTTTGTTTTGGAACTTCTCCATGAAGGTTATGAAAACATATAGACTCCTGTGGCCAGGGACGAGTTGAGTTCCAAGTCCACTCTAACGCAAGTCAAGTTCGTACAGTTTTGGAGCTGACAGAACGGTGTCTGGACAGGGCCACGACCCCACACGTTCTCTGTTGATCCACTACAACTCGTGAGTTTTTCTGTAATATTTTGTGTTTACTTCCACAGATCTAAAACACACACCTGGAAGGAAAGACAGAGCACCTGTTATCTCGAGAGACAACACAAACGTGCCTTTAGAGCAGGGGTTGGTAGACGGTGGCCAAGCACCGATTTTTGTGAATAAAGTTTTATTGGAACACAGTCATGAAGGTCAGAGAAGCTCCAAGAACAGGCTAGTGTCTGAGCACCTGACCAACCAAACTTAAGCAAACAGCACTGGGGGAAACACCAGGGCAAGGACTAAGGTTGACCTGGCAGAGTGACAGGGCCAGGAGCAGGAGCCACAGCCACATGCCTACATGGCGAGGTAGGTGGCAGCTTAGGCCTAAGTGCAAGGCCTCCGAGAACATTTGGGAACCCTGGCCTTCGAGGTCAATGCTGTGCTGTGCATGGGAGGAGGTTGTGCTGCATCTCTGGGCTCCACCCAGGAGATGCCAGGAGCCTCCCACCCCCCAAGCAGTGACAGCCCAACAGGCCTCCAGGTATTGCCTAATGTCCTCAGAGGGGCAGAGCACCCCAATTTCATCCAGGAAATGTTGACCAGAAGAACATTCTGCAAGGGCTGAAGCGAGGGCCACTCTCCGATGTGGGGCCACGGCAAGCAGTCCCTGCGCACGAGCTGAACCCTGCCGAGTGCCACCCCGGCTCTCCCCGACCCTGCACCCGCCCCTGCTAACTCTAGCGCTGCTTACGGAGCCATCGGAGGTGCTGGGGCCCACTTTGTTCCCATGAGCATTCCAGCACACCTCGAAGATGCTGCCGGTGCCTCGGTAGCTATGGACGAGACTGCCACTCTGCAGAGAAAGCACAGTGACTGGCGCTTACCACACGGGGTGCAGCCCGGCCACCCGCCCAGGAGCTGCACGGGTCTCGGGGACAGCGGGGAGCCGCTCAGAAAGGGGAAAAGAAGGTGGTGGCTCCTCCAAGGAGGGGCATCTCCAAGATGTCTTGCTTGGAGCTGTGAGCCCTGAGGACAGCAGAAGCAGACACCTTTCCCGGGGAGGGAGTGGCCCTGGGTGTCTGTCCCAGGCAAGAGCGCAGCCAGGAGGAGCCAGACAGACAGCCCAGGCCTGGGCTCTCTGTGGGGGGCGGCAGCTCATTCCTGAGCGCCAGTTCCCTAGTGGCTGTTCTGAGCCCGGGTCACTGCAAACACAGCTACTCGGGCATTACTTTGCAAAGGACTCAACCCCGAGGGTCAGGAGATTACCTGAGTATTCCAGATATGGACACACTTGTCAAAGGAGCCGCTGGCCATATACTTCCTGTCAGGGCTAAAAGCGACACTGTAGACAGGTTCCTGGTGTTTGGTCAGTGTGTGAATACACACCCCTCGCTCCACATCCCACAGCCGGACCGTGGAGTCAAACGAAGCGCTGCGGAGACAGAGGGGACACGTTATCACCTGAGCACGCTGGCGTTCAGCACATGTCCCTCCAACACGGGCCACACCTCACAGGAGCCGTCTCTCTCTCCCCACTTCTAGGTCCAGACCGGTGAGCTTTTCCTCCTAAAACGCAACTCAGATGCAGTGAAAACAAAGCCATTGTCACAAAACAATCAACTTTTGGTGCTGTTATTGTGAAAGCAAATTGACACCCACGTTCCTATGTTTCTGCATTTGTTTAAAGATATAAATGGTAAATACTTTTGTGGAATATTGATCAAGTTTTCTAAGATGCTCTTATATTGAAAAACTTCTATTGTAGGGCCGGCCCGGTGGTGCACTGCTACAGTGCACCGCTTGGGAGTGTGGTGGCGCTCCCGCCGAGGGTTTGGATCCCACATACAGACCGGTTCCCACTCACTGGCTGAGCGAGGTGTGGGTGCAACACTGAGGGTTGCGATCCCATTGCCGGTCCCGGTCCGGTATGGGCGTGACACTGAGGGTTGCGATCCGTTGCCGGACACAAAAAAAGACAAAAAGGAAAAAAAAGAAAGAAAAAAAGAAAAACTTCTATTGTTACCAACAAATGCAGATAGCCAGGTTTGGAAAAACAGTGAATAGAATGAATAAATATTTATAAAATTTTTAATCCAACAGGAGTTAAAATAGTCACGTCTACACATTCGACCACATTGCTGAGAGCTGCAAATTTCAGTTATGTTCAAATTTAAAATAAAGTACAAATCACAAACCTGCTATCTGGCTTTCTTTTTCTCTACAGGGCTGGTACCAGCCTGTCCTTTTCGTGTGTGCTGACTAAAGGGTCATTTATGTTCCTAATGGGTAACACGTGATACAAAAGAACCTCCCAAGTCACTAACACATGATTATAGCATGAGGTGCTGTATCATAGTAATTTCAGTGGCTTTTAGGACAATTATGTGAAATAAGAGAATTATTGCCTTTGTGCTGTTCTGTTCATCCACTAGGCTGATACAAGGATTCTTTCCAGTGTTTTCTAAGAAACAAGCTTGGTTGGGCTGAGCACTTTCAACAAGCTGCTCGCTCCTGGCACGGCCGACCGGCTCCCGCTGCCCCAGAGGCAGGTGGCAGGTGTTCTCCCCTTACAGGAGGTGTGTGCCCACCTGTCACTACCCTCTCTCTGCAGCTACACAGAATAACCCGCTGCTGCCTCCTGGTACCCAAACATTCCCATTAACTCTCCTCTCTTGTAGGCTAACGAGACACCCACATTTCATGGGTCCAGATCCTGGTTTCCAGGTCCCTAAGTAGCTCAGCATTCAGTCTCAGAATCTCTTTAGCTCGTTCTTCTAAAAGTTCTTCCTGAAATAACGAGAGTGGAAT